AACAGTCACCCTTTATTCCTCTCTTTGGCTAGAGACTTTCCTCTTCTTTCCTCACTGTGTCTCTGGAGGAAAAGGACATTGACATTGGCTTGTCCATGATCAAGGTCTGCTGGTCTGCAGTTCTGTGTAAAGACCTCCTCATTTAGAGAAAAGGACCTGCTTCTAGCAATCCCTCAAGAACCAAAGAACTAGTCCTCAACCAGACTAAAATCTTCACCTGACATTTATATATTTATAGGACTGCACGATTTACAAAATATTTATATAGAATTTTACTCGTTACATTATGTATGCAAGTAGTATGACCAAGACTACCCAGCTGGTGAGTAGGGCAGCTGGGACAAAAAGATAGGTCTGCCGGACATAAATTCCTACACCTGTGTAGACAGAGGAATGACAGAGTGGTGACTGTTTTCCAGGCAGCCCCTGAGCAGCTGGTCCCCGTGAGAGGCCACTCAGGGAGAGAGAACTAAATTAGGAATCAGAAAGCCCATAGTCTGTTCTGTGCCCTGTCTTGAGGAAGCTGTGTGGCCTTAGGCAGGTCACTTCAGCTCTCTGAGCCTCTGTTTCCTCACCTGTAAATGAAAGAAATCTCTAATATTTCTATTAACTGAAAGTGATATATCTATAGTATGAAACCCCAGAATAAGGCCAATCCACTTTGGGGGGCTCTATCCCAGGTCCCTGCTGTCTAATGAATTGGTGTCCGTCTTCATGTTCAGTGAAGAGAATTCAAACTGCCAGAATTAGTCACTGAGCCATTGAGAAATTTAGGATAGATGCCAGTGCTCAGGATATAGAGTTATGTTGAGAAAATCTATATGAAAAAAATAGGAAATGCTTTGAAAAGAATTCCCCATGAAACCTGCCTGCAAATTATCGTTTTTGTTAACCAGCCTCAAATTATTCAGGGAACTTAGTGAATGTAGAGAACAAAAAAGCATATAGTTTTCCCAGGGGAGATACCTACTGGAGATAATCCACTAATCCTGGATTTAAAAAAAATGATTTCCTTATATTCTATCACCGATAAACAACTACTTAGTTATGATTACTGGGAGAAATCATGGACCCATATACCAGACTCAAGAAGAGAGGACGCAAACCTTTCCAAGAAGACAGCACAATTCTAAAAGGTACCCGCTGTCTCTGGGATAACTCTAGAATTACCTTTAGTGAAAGGGTGAAGCAATTCCATTTTGTCATTGTAGTTTTTTATCTTGAGGGAAATACTTAGTATGTTAATGAAAGATATTATCTGAATTGATTATCTTTATCATATCATCTACACCATCTTATATCAGGCTTGTAAGGAGAAGGTTCAAGCCTCTTAGCTTCTTGAGGGAGAGCTCTGTGGCTCAGTCTGGAGTCTGTTTCATTCATTAATTAACATAAGCAGTTGACACCTGTCACTGAGGCAAAATATTCTTGAAAAGGGAGGAAGCCTAAGCAGATAAATAATTTTGTTTTTCCTGGTGTGATACATAACACACACACATTCACACACACAACATACACACATTTGCAGGACAAATCTATTAACTACCTATATTAAGGCAGAATTCTCTCTCTCTCTCTCACCTCCATCTGTATTGATTAATTCTTTTCCAATTTTTTCCTCCTCAGCATGAGAAGGGGAACATAAAGTAATTTTATATTTCAGTACCACACAAAGAGAACATGTAAAAATCATGGTATATTGCATCTTCAGATTTGCATTTAAAATCTGGTATCAGTTGTGTGGAAGATTGGAAGCATTTTAGGTGGAAGGTCAAGAAATAATGATGGTCTAGGTACTAGGGAAGAAAGTGACTTCACAAAATGGTCACTGCTTAAACTACCACAGTTTACTGTCTTCAGACATCATTGCCTCTAACTACTGGATCAGGGCATGAAATTTTTATGCTCAGTCCCATAGAATTAACTGTTGCATTTTTGCTCAAGAGCCCACAACATTCTTTTTATAGATGAGCGGGCAGGCTGTCTTACTGGAATGGACTGTAAGTGTGGAGGAAGATGTAAAATGGCTATATCGCTAATCAGGAAGAGATGTGGTAGGAGTCTGCCTGTAGACATAAGGATATGGGCTATTCAGCTCACTATATTGTATCAGCAAGAAGTATTCTTGAGACATATACTGTTTTTCATAAGAAAAAAAGTAATGATTGGTCAAGAACTTTTTATTCCCTGTTAAAGGTGAAGATACCTGTAGCCTATGACCCAGCATGTCACTCTCCTAGGTACAGACACTACAAAAACTCTTGCACATGTGCACTTGGAGACATGGCCAAGAATGTCCTTGGCACTTATGCATGTAACAGCAAAACACTGAGTCCAAATGTCCATCAACTCTGCAGTGGATAAAGTGACACATTCATACAATGTAATACTTAGGAGCCCTAAAAATAAATGGATTACAAATGCACATGACTCAGGAATTTATGTTGAATGAACAAGCAAGCCACAGAAGAAGATATACAGTATAATTCAATTTATATAAAGCTCAGAGACATGCAAAATGTAAAATATGTAATAATATGTAAAAAATGTAATAATATATTTGGCAGGGATTCAAACATATGTGATGAAACTATATATAAAAGCAAAGGACTGTTAAATTTAAATTAGGATAGTGTGTGGGAAATAAAGGAGACTGGATTAGGGAAGATCAGTACAAGGATCCAAAGGTAATGATTGTATTCTTTTTCTTAAACTGGGTGGTGGGTGTTCATCATGTTTTGTTACACTTTTGCATATGCCTTATGAACCAACTTTTAAAATGGTGTAAATTTGTTGACTCTTTTTGCTACCCCAGAATTTGACTTTATGGCCCAAAGCTCAGAGCAGAATAATAGCAAGCCATACCAAACTTAGCACTATAATTTGGGGTAGGAATCGACCATCATCTCTTAACCTCTAATCTAATATGTTGACTTTGTAACAATGAATTGGCAATTAATGATTTTTTTCTGCATAGCTAGCCTTTCAGTTTGTTCAGCTGTTACTGATGTTAGTAATAGAATACTGAGAACATTTCTTCATAAAAGTGTGTGTTTAGAGGTCTTTTCTTCAGTATCCTCTCTCTAAAGTCAAGAAGGAAAGAAACATAGCGAAAGGAAAAACTTCATAACATCAATCCTAACCCGATTATAATGTTAATGCATATAAATATTGACACCTGTAAATCATTTCTGCTCTGCTAGTCACAGAACCAAGGATGATGGCATTCTTCCGTAGAGGAGGAGAACTAAAGGAGTTCTGGACTGTGTGCCTTCCCACGGAGGGTATCTCAAAGCTCAGGAACACTGCATCAAAACTGACAAAAGCTAGAGGCTGGTTAGCATTGGCGCAGCTAAGAAAGCACACTGGAGAGACACCCAACTCGGAAAGGGAGTTCATGAAAGGATGTCCAAGATACAGGCATCTCCACTTGATGTTGAAGAATGAATAGAAAATACGTAGAGGATGTAGCCTGGGGAAAGAGAATTCCAGGCAGCCACAGAGATGTGGTAAATTTCATGAATTTAAGCTTTCCATGCAGACATCTGCAAAGATCTGAATGAAGTTATAAATTTGACTTGGATTCCAGCCTCCCAACCATTGCTGTGTCCCACCCCAGACACTGGAGACAGCACAAGGCAGGATTCAGAGGCAGAGCTTTGGAGTCTGAGAGACTAGGACTGAATCCTTGTCTGTCTCCAGAGTCGTAGACCAGCTCTCATTTCTGATTAAATGTTCAATTATTACTGATCTAACCTTTGTTCTGAAGCCAGTGTGATCTTTCTAAAGTATAACTCCTGCTTCTCCCCCATTTGCAACTCAACTAGTGTTTCCCCATTGCCCAAGATAAATACTCAATTCTTAACAGGGCTTTCAAAGCCTTTGGGCGATCTGGCCCCTACTTCCCTCCCCCACCTCATCAACCTGGCCCTCCAGCTAAATTAACTCATCTCCATTCCCAGACTCCTCATGCTCTCTCAGCCCTGCCTGGAACACACCACCGTCCTCACTGCAACACTCCTGTTACTCTTCAGACCTTAGCTTTGTAATGTGGTAATTTAATCTTGCAATTTATTGAATACACACCACACACACACATGGGTGCACACACACCCATAGAGACATTTTATAAATTAATGTAAATTTATCTGGATGCTACTCTATACCATCTTAAAAGTTAGGCTTCTGCCAAGTCAGAATCTATATTAATATATTCTGTACATCAGCACAATGCACCTACATAATTAACATTAAACAGTAACAGAAGCCAACGTACTCTTTCTTGGGAGTAATCTTATAAAATATGGTAGCTGTACTAACATCTATCAGGAAATAACTATGTTATATACACATTTTTATTATTAACCATTTCATAGTTTAATATAAACTATGTTTAATATGAAATGTGCATGAGTATACTTAATGCATGGGTTTACTTATATGTTTAATACAAAATGCCCCCAATCATAAAAGAGCATCAGACTAGAGGACTAAAGAATGTCTTTAGCAGTTATGTGTGTAACAGTGAAACACTGAATCCAAATTTCCATCAATACTACAGTGGATAAAAAAAGTGACACTTATTCATACAATGGAATACTTTGCAGCAGTGAAAATAAATGAATGAATTACAAATTCATGTGACTTAGGAACATATATTGAATGGAAAAGCAAGTCACAGAAGAATATACAGTATAATTCAGTTTATATAAAGTTCAGAGACATGTAAAATATAACAATATAATTGGCAGGGATTCAAACATATGCAATTAAACTATATAGCCATTTTGCCACAAATCAGGGTAGAGAGAGGAAGCTTTCCTGTCGGTCAGCAGTAGGCGATGCTAAAACTCAGATCACAGGGGAAAGATTTAGAAGAATTGCCAGTAAATTCAGGGGTTGCTCTCGAGTTGTATGATGTCCCTTTTTTGCTTCAGCCAGCAAACCATCAACAGGGTAACAACCAAATCTTAAGACTGCAACCAGAGGCCTCCTCTTACCTCGGCGTCAAAGCGGGGATCCTGGTAGGCGTCACTGATGTTTACTGGAAGGCCTGTAGAAGCTACCAGCTCAGCAATGCTGTTATTTATTAGCCAGTCGGAGTAGGATGATTTCTCCATGCTTTCTTTGAAACTATCAGAACACCAAGGCAGGCAGTAAGAAAAGAGAAAAACATCAGTTTACCTGCAAGCAAACCCTGCAAAAGTACACTCATAGCAGGATTACCTACCCTCATTAAGAAGGGGTTAACTGACCTTAATCACAGAACAATAGTGAAGTAATTATAAGCAGCTACTTTATCATGTAAAACAATCAACTCCATGGGTAGAAATGATAGATCCTCTATGATCCAGAGGATAACTCTAGGTTGTATTTAGGCCCCAAAGCAGGCAGACATAAAGCAGATAACCAGGTAATGACCAAAACTGATGATAGGATGCCAACGCCATGGCATAATCAATTCCACTGACCTTCCTAGCTTGCACCCCCTAACTAAGCAGACCAGATGTTTGATACCAGGGAGAATTAAACCTAAGGATGGAGAAAAGTCCGGAAATAAACTGAGAATTTACAAAAGTTTAAGTGTAGCAAAAGAGCACATCTAGACTCAGTGTTAGTGTTTTGTAACTATTGTTGTAGTTTCAGAGTATGTTTCTTAACAAAAACACACTTCCTACTTACAAAATCTTACTGGAAAATCTGTTTTAACTCTACCCTTAACAATAATAATTTAAAATAATCCATATTTGATTTTAACAAGGAATTTTATGTTAAATGATTTTGTGAATTTTCCTTTGTGTCACTTTCACTACTTCACTACAAATGTCAAATTTATAGAAATGCCAGAAGAATTAGTAAGATTCCTCACTTCATCCCTCCCTTCCATCATTTCTTCCCCCCATGACTATTGAGCACTGCCACGAGCTGTGGAAATGCAAACTTAAGCACTGTTCAAATTAACAATATCAAGGAAAATTTTCAGGGAGGATGTTAGATTTGTGGCTTGACCAGTAATAACTGAAATTATGTAAATGAATGCAAGTATACAGGGCAATGTTTTCCAAACTACATTCTGTGGAACCCTGGGTTCCTGAAGATGTTAATGAGTGTACTACAGTCAGAATAATAACTCTGTTGACTTTTTAATCTAAGCTGCATTATATGTAATAAAAACACTAAATGCTGTACACAGTCATTGTTATTATGCAATAATGTGCCTGTGTGGAATTTGTGCCATACTGAGAATGCCAGAAACTGACATGGAGAGGCCACCAGATATGTGAATGAGAAGGAAGCACAGACATCATTTACCATCATGAATATCTCTCATCTGTAATGACTGCTGGTCTGCGTCTGATAAATTCAACATATATTTGTGAGGTTATTCAGCCCTTATTGCATATTAAACGTTACTGGTACATAAATGTATTCCCTATGGATCTCTGGCTGAAGATGGAAGTGTTAATAAAAAGCAGAGTCTTGAATTTCTCAGATGATGGCTAAGTCAAAGAAGGAAAAAGACTGAGGACTTCAAAGAGAAGATGAAGCCTTTATTTTCTCAAACAAACAAAGGAACAACAAAAAAGTCCACGTTTTATTTTCTCTTTGCTGTATTCTACCTGTGAGAAGTGAAATTTTACATTGTGCTGTAATGAAAGCAAAATACAGGAAGAAACATAACAGTGCTCCTGATATGAGGTTCCAACTTAATGAAGTCACTTGTCAGCTTATGAAATCATTCAATGCTGATGATTTCTTGCAGTGATTAATCAAGCTATCGATTCATTCTGCGCTGCCTGTGTACCACAGGTTTTGTCTACATCTCTTCTGTGATGAAACAATGTGGAAAATGCTGACCTGGTGTGTGGTGGGAAGAAGAGCTGTGCAGGACCCTGGGGACGAGCCAGGGAGGGAACCTGCGAAAGAAACGCTGGGGTGGGGGAGGCTGAGGAGGGGTAACCGAGAACTAAGGAAGGAAGCAGCTTTATCAACAAGTGTCAAAAACCTTTAAGTGGGTCTCAGGATGGGCAAGAGTTCAGCAAGGAGAGATTGGAAGGGTGAGGAAGAAGGCACCCATGGAGGAGGAAAGAGCAGGAACAAAGGACATGAAGCAGCAGAGTACAAGGGTGTGTTCTTGGAACACGGATTAATCGCCTTGGAACACGGGACGCATACTGTGGGGAATAAGACTGAACAGGAGGTCAGGGCCCAAAGGTGGAGGCTTTGACCAAGGAGCTGAGACCTATGTTATAGGCAATGGGGAGCGATGTAAGAGTATTGAGCAGGGAAGTGACAGGACTTGAGCTGTGACCTTAGGAAACTTAATCCAGGGAGAATGAGCAAGAAGAACTGGCTAAGAGAGGCTGAAGGTGGGGAGAGGTCCTGGCAGACCAGTTAAGTTGTGCAGTGGGAGGTGACGATGCTGGCCACTCAGGAGGTACTGCAGACGATTTCACAGGGCTTGGTGGACGGGCAGCAGTGGCTTACATTTTGCTGCTGTATGCCTGTGGCACTACTGGCAGAAGGGAGTTGTTTAGAGGATTGGGGAGATGGGGGAAGATAACAGATATTCTGTGAGCCTGGAACACGTTATTCATTGTTGAAAATCCAGGACCAGAGCCCATATCAAGTCTTCAGGACTGAAAATACTGATACAGAGTTGGGGCTATCTTCAGGGAAGATAGGGAATGAAGATAGGGAAGATAGGGAATGGATGAGATCACTCAGGGAGAGAATATATAGATAAATCTGTAGGGGAAGGAAGGAGAAGAAAGGCAGTAATAAAGAGGAGAAAGAAAAAAGGGAAAACAAATTAATCATCACCCACAGTGAGCCAAGGGAAGCTGGATGCTTACCTAACGAGTTTGTTTTGTCCTCACCTAAATCCTATGAGTACAATTCTCTACATTTTACAGATCAGAAAACTGAGGCTCAGAGATGCTAAATGACTTTCCCAAGTGGAAACAGGATTTTCAGCTAAAGTGTGACTCCAAAGTGTGACTCCACTTCTGTTTACCCTGTTGCCTCTCTGGGAAGGAGTCGATGGGTAGGAATAGAGCAAGAAGAGTAGGTTTTCACTAAAAAGAAGGGAGGCCAGTCAACATTACAGAGGGTTTCACGGAGAGGCTGCAGGTAACAAACACTTCAGCCTCAGGCTGCAGTCAAGGAAGAAGGAGGACAAAACACTGGATTTGACAATCCAGAGCTTTACGTCCCTACTTACAGAATCCTCAAAGATGATGATGGAAACACTTACTGAGCAGGGGCTCCTGAAAGACTCCTTCTAGATCTAGAGCTGCTCAGAATCTGGCTTAGTGCAGGCTGCACATGTACTGAAATCACTCCAAACTGTAGACAATGCAAAAGCATCAGCCCTGGGCTACAGGCACTGCTGAGGTGGTTTCTAGAAAGTATAAGCTATGGTCTCTGCCCTCAGGAGCTTGCCACCTAGTCGGGGAGGTGAGAAATAAACACGCTGACATTAAACAACGCAGGACTCAAATACCCAGTTCAAATTTCAAATTTGTCACATGGCTGTGTTGGCTAGTTGCCAAGCCAATTGTGCCAATCATGAATGAGGAAGAAGTATAGGGAGGGAGAAACAACTTCAGGTGGGGCTAAGGCTTCAGGTGAGGCTAAGGCTTCAGAGAGGAGATGAGATTTGAACTGACCTAAAGCTGCAACAGTGCAAACAGATTTTCTGAAAACCGCCCCTCCATTTCCCTCAGTTTAATCTTGCCTAGGTACATAAATTAAGGCCCAGGGGGACAGGATGGTTAGAGAGACAGGAAGGTTGATTTGTCAGTCTAAGTATTTATATCACATTCTGGCCCTTGTACCATTCAACCTTCCATGATTCTGGAATGCAGAATCATGACACTGAGTTAGAGCTTTCAAAACCTTGATCCTTTTCTTTAAAAAAAAAAAAAGGTAATTTTGTTTTATGATTAAGACTATGGGTTCTAGAGTCAGACACACTGACTCACATGACTCTCTTGCCACTTCCAAGCAAAGTACTCTCAGACAAGTTACTTACATTTCATCTATAAAATGGGTATAATACTACTACTTAGTTATTGTGCAGATTAAGGTAATAATTTATGAAAGTACTTATCATATTATCTAGCCCATAGCAAACATTTTTTTTAAGTATCAACTTTTTAACAACTTCTAAAGTAAATTCTGCATGTGACAGTACCCCTTTGGACATTTCAGCAATGTGGTGTTGTGGGTTTAATCACAAAGGAAAAGGCCCAAATTATTTCTACTTCTCGAGGGACACATCTAGCTTAAATGATCAGTTCTTTCATAAAGGTCCTATAGGTCAACTCCTCCTGATTTATGAGGGCCCTTTTATTCTGTGTGGTTTACTCCCTTTGACTGACTGCTGTTGGAATAGAACATGGTAAGATCATGGACACAGCCATGTATATTATGCAGGTTCTGCCCTGTACAGGGGTGCCCTGTCAAAGGAATGAATGGAGCTGAAATCTAGCCTAGTTGTGCACATTGGTTTAGAGCTGCATCCATCTAGAGGGAGTACCTTTTTCCTAATTCTCACAGAGACGCTGTAAGGGCTGAAAATGGCTCTGCTTCAATCCCTTCTTCAACACACATGACAAATGGACATCAATATCAAACTGAATGCCTTTAGTGACAGGGAACTCATTACCTACAAAAATATTCCATGCCATTTTGTGGCAGCTCAATCTACTTTCCAATAATCACCATCTTTTGCTCCCAGTCCCATGGTTTGCAGCCACAGAGCATGGCTCTCATTAACTGACAGCCCTTGAAATATTCGACAATAATTAACATGTTCCCTATAATCCTCCACCTGAGATCATTCTTTTTAACTTATCTCCAATTCCTTCAGCTACTCCCTTTGTGGCATAGCTTCCTTATTCTCATCCTCCCAGTCCTAGATGCGTCTGAGATGGTTAATAGCCCTCTTGCGTATGAAAGCCAGTTCGGAACAATCTTGGCCATGGGGTCTGAGCAGCATAAAGGTGGGATGACCACCTCCTTGATTCTGGATCCTGTTCCCACCAATAAGACTCAGGATTAATAGTTCCTAATAGCTCTTTTTTTAAAAAGGTTTTTGAAAGCTTAAATTAATATCCCAAATTGAA